CTAACCATCTTTATTTTACAACAAAATGTGGTCGAAGAAGGGAAAATTTTTTTGAATTCAAAAAAAAAAAAAAACTCTTAATCAAGTAAGAATGCTTTCTTTATTATCACAAAAAAAGGAATATTCTCTCCGTTGATATCACTTCTCTTACAGAAATCACGCGTTATTGTGATTGATTATTTTATCAGCGTTAACCAATCACAAAAGAATGAAAAAGAAAATACCTTTCTTTCTATACATACATGCATGTATTTATTTTCTATAAATCCCTTAAATCCATACAAATTTTGTCCGGATCAAATAACTCCACCATCATAACACGCACGCAGATGCATCTGTCTATTTGGTAAAATGTATAGTAGTTGAAACCTGATAAATAGTAAGTAATATAAAAAATGGTAATATAATAATAATAATATGTATGTATGGTATAGTTTGTTAATTGTAAAAATATTTACATGTTAAACTTTGAAAGAGCAAGCAGTCAAAGCAAATAGTAAGTAATAATATTTTGATAATAATAAATTCAGCCTTAATTCCATTTAAGGTATATTTTATGATATTATCATTTTTAGGTATATAAATAACAAGGCTCATTTCCGCGCTTGCCAACTTAACTTCTCTGGTGAATTTGTTTTTAGATGTCAATTACTATTAATAATAATCTGTGTTTTTTAAAAGACATTCATCAATCCCAATTTCCATTCAATAGTTATCGATCTCGTATTATTAGAAAGAGTTCATGATCCAAATACGTTCATTTTTTTTGTTTCACTTTTAGTTTTTCTAGCAAAGAAAATTTGTTTATTTGTACAAAATTATATTTTTACTGCTGAGGGATTTTCCGATGCTTTATTTATGTATGTTATTTTATATTTTATTTATGTTGTTATTATTATATTATCATTTGTTGAAAATGTACCTGTGGATTTGCTACAGAGTCTACACGAATATGTTTGTCCATAAAAATTTTGGCATTCATCAATAAAGAATCTTCAACAGAAGATTTCTCTTTATATAAAATATATGCATTGAGTATATCACGTTTTGGATGTAATTTTTTTGTAATGAATGAAATTTTACGAGGAAGAGGTTCAGAAAATGCCTTTTGATAAATTTTTTTGAAAATATAATAATTAAAAATTAGAAATGAGAAGAGAAGTATCTCAAATTGTTCTCTTGGAAAAAAAAAGATTATACTTACAATTGATCGAAAACGAATACTTTCAATTTTACCAAATATAGAAAATTGAGATTTTAATTTTTTAAAATTTTCCTAAATTTTAATTAAGAGTTTAGAAATATTAAAATACTATATATTTATATGAAAAAGAAATTACCTTTTGAATAACAGAAACCGGTAAATTTCCAATAAAGATGGTTCGTTCTGATTGTTCTGGGTCATTTTTATTAATTGGTTTTGATAGTGGTTCTACAATATCCTTTTCTTCTTCACTAATCCTATCATTATCATCATATTCCTCTTCTTCTATATCATCTTTACTAGTTTCATTATCATACTCATTATTGCCGTTTTCTACACTCATCTCATTATCACTATTATCATCCATATTTTCCATATCATCTTCGCTAATTTCATAATCATAATCATCACCCATGTTGTTCTCATTAACATGATTTTTTTGTGTCTTGGCTGATTTTTTTGAAGTAGTGGTAAGAGAAGAAGTCTTTGGCCTTTTACGTGAATTATTATTCTGATTAGCTTCAGCGGTATGTTTATGTTTATTAATAATATCATAATCATTATCAATAGATTGATCATTTAAATGCTTTTTGAATTTTCCTAATCTATCGTATATTTTTTCAATATCTTTTCCTTTGCTATTTATAATTTTTCTATTTGATTTAAATTTAACTTTGGCTTTCAACAGAGGTTCTTCTTTATTTTTATCCCTTTTCTTTGTTTTTACATTTGATAAATTTTGTTTATCATCTTTATTCTTAATTTTATCAATGTTTTTTGCATTAGAAATATTAATTTCACTTTTATTCTTCCATTCCTTTCCATTATTAACATTATTATCAGGATTATTAGTAATTATTGTTTCATTCAACCTGATTCGAGGTAGTTTCGCTGGACCTGCCTATTTTCAAAAAAAGTAATCAATAATTGGCAAAATTTACAAAAAAAAATCTTGATGATAATCTAACTTACGCTATTTTTGAATAACGCATCAAGTTTATCATCTACTTTTTTAACTTTCTCTCCTAATAAAGTTTTAATTAAGGAGCCAGGAACATACTCTTTAGACATTTTTTTAAAACAAATGCTTTTATCAAGTAACGTTGAAGATGCGAG